GGGAAAGCAGATGGCAAGGCAGTCCAAGTCTGGGGGCTCCGGAATGGCCCTCCCTTCTGGTGCCTGAAGAGTGGTGCAGGTTCCATAATGAGAGGGCAGGTGGAGGGTCAAGGCCGCGACCTGCCCGAGGCTGCCATGAAGCCCAGGCTGGCCAGGGTCACCATTCAGTGTCCTGTCCCGGCTCCACATTGGCTCCTGCAGTCCTGTCACATGGAAGCTCAAAACAAGGGCCTGGAGCCCTGGTTCTCAAACTTCGGCCAGGCGTCACTGAGCTCCATGAAGATCATCTTGGCATACTGCTCATAGGGCTGCCCCGTGGCCTTGTCGGGGTGCATAACTAGCACTGCACGGCGGTAGTGCTTCTTCACCTGGCTGGGCGTCACCAGGTCGGCCATGCCCACTGGCGTCCAGCGGCTCTCGCCTTCCCATAGCACTGTGTGCAGTGTGGGCAGCAGCGCGCGGATATTGCGTTCTTTGCCTGCGATCCAACTGAGGAGCTTCAGCTTGAGCGGTCCAGTATCTGGGGCCATCTCCTGCTTCCTCATCAGCGATGGTCTTTGGTCCTTTCTTGTTACACTTGGAGGGAAAGCCTTCACTGGGCAGCAAGTCCTCATTCTATGAAACTTTTGGCTTTGGGGCAAACCTGGGCACATGGAAGCATCTCTCCTCGAGGCTCCCAATCACACTGAAGTTCACGGCACAGTTAGGCCTCAGCAACGGGCAGCCTTTGGCTGGGGGTGGATTGGCCAGTGGGGACCAGGTCAAGAGACAAGCTTGTGTGCCAGGGGCCAACACCACCCTTGGGAGGTGGGGCCGTTTTGGGAATGAAACCACCATGAGGGAACCTGCAGGGCAAACCTGTGCCAAGGTCACCAAGGTCAGAAAAGGGATCCAGATTCTGGGACTTGGTCCTGCTGGTGGAGGGGCCAGGCGGGGTTACTGGCAGACATCCAGAAGAGAAGAAGGGGCCTTCTGTGGCAAGCTTGGAGGCTGGCAGGTACCCTGGTGTGTCAGCCCAGGCGTCCCATCCTCCCAAGAGGTCCCAGTGGCTGGAGGAGGCTGTCATCCTGCTGATTTTCACAGGGAAATCATCCAGGTACAGGACACATCTGCACTGCAGGATGGGGAGGGGTGCTGTGTGTGGTGGGGAAGGAGGCTGTAAGTCGCGGGCCTGTGGGGTCCAGATGAAGAAACTTGCAAAAGAGGTCAGAGTTGGAGCAGGTGCAAGTGTCTGAATCAGCTGCCATCACGAAAGGGTCAAGTGGGTCCACAGCAGGGGCGGGCCCCTCATGAGAGACACTATGAGCTCCAAGGGGGGTGCTGGGGCTGGCCAAGAGCAGGGAGGCTTCTCTGCCAAACAGGTCAGCCATGGGCCCCTCGGGGGTGGTGGTGGAGGGCATGAAGAGGCAGTTGAGCAGGTTCATGATGCTGGAGGAGTGCCCGCTTTCCTGCAAGGGGTGTGACGGCCTGGGCCCCCACTCCCAGTGCAGCCCCAACATGTCCACACTGTCCTCTGGCTCAGGACTGGTCTCATTACGCCACCATCAGACCTCCACTGTACCCACTGCTTGAGGGGCCTGTGGACCAGGCCCCCAGGCCCCCCAGAAGGGGGTGGCCCTCACGGCTTGGCAGTGTTTCTGAAGCCTCCTTTCTGCTCCAGGAACTCTGTGATGGGTGATTCAGGATTAACATTTCTGGCAGCAGCAATTTCCTGGAGTTGGTCGACCAGCTCCGTAATAGACAACCGCTCCTCTGGGTTGACCTTCAGCATGGAACGGATGAGGTCGTGAAGGACGGTATACTGAGTGTCATTCTGAGGAATGGTGTAGTTCCCATTAATGATTCGAAGCTTCGCTCCATCTTCAAATGGATGCTGCCGGAAGCACAGAAGGTACAAGATGCAGCCGAGGGCCCAGATATCCTGCTTCTCGCTGATCGGTAAATTGGAATATTAAGTCGACGATCTCTGGCGTCCTGTACATGGGAGTGGTGTTCCTCGTGATCTCTTCCTCCACCATCGCACGCTTCTGAGCGCTCCAGCTGTAGTCTGGGTGGTGAGACATGGTAGTGGCACTGCCAAAATCACACAGCTTGATGGTCCCCTGGTCACTAACCAGCAAGTTTTCAACCTTGAGGTCTCTGTGAGTGATGGGTTGCTTCTGCCTGTGCATGTGTTGCACCGCTCTGCACGTCTGATAAAATATCTTCAGAACCGTATCGCACGAGAGAGGACCTCTAGTCTCCATTTTCTTTACAAAGTCCACCA